CAACCCCTTCGGGTCCCCTCCCACTGTGGGAGCTTTTCTGCCCTCTTAATAAATCCTGCTTTCTCACTTTCTGGCTGTTTGTGTCCCTCATTTCTCCTGGGCATGAGACAAAAACCCCGACCTGAAGAGCTGCAGAAGATGAGACTCTGAAGCTGAGATACTTCTGCAGGGCTGCAACCCTCTCAGGGCTTGGCTTGCCAGCTCATTAGAGCCAACACTCTGGAGGCTAGGCTTGTCAGCCCACCAAATCAGCAACACCCTCAGGGCTTGGCTTGCCAGCCCATTAGAGCCAACACTTCTAGGGCTAGGCTTGCCAGCCCATGGAGCTGACCCTCTATGGGGCTCAGTTGGCTGACCCATTAAAGCTGACACTCTTGAAGTCCAGGTTGACCTGAAAAATCTGTATCACTACTATCTATTGGGGATAATAATTTATCAAAAAAGTTAAAATGCCAAGATTTATGCTTAAGTTTTTTGAAATTATAATAGCTTCAATGTTATTCTTTAAATTTTTTTTATACTGATTTTAATTCTAACATGGCTATTCTCAATAAGAGGATAAAGAATAAGATTACAGATACCGAACTATAGAGTTGCATATAATCCTGAGTATACAAATGGACATCATGTTGCACATTTGAATGCCATGTAATTCATTATGCTGTCACAGAAGAAAAAAAGACTTAGAAATTTAGCTGTAGGAAATAGGAAGCAGATGGAAGTTGTTAAGCAAATGAATGGCATGATCCAGTATGGGTGTCAGAAAGCCTAACTCATGACAGGAAGGGAGGATTAGCTGAAGTATGAGAGACACAAGAGAGAGAGCAGCCTGGAAGCTGCTGACGAGGCAACTTGAAAGGCAATGTGTAAGACAGAAGAACAGAAGAAGGAAACAGATTCAGTACGTATGAGGACAGACTGAATCGAATACACAGAGATTGAATATATCTAAGGGTATCTCCTCTTCGGTAGACAACTGAAAAGAAGTGTGAGCAGAAGATGAAATCTGGAAGTAGTAGTAGTTAAAATCATAGGAATAAAATAAAAATTTTTTCAGGGGCAGGTAATACATGTGTAACAGGAATTAAAGAAAAAAGACAGGAAAACTCTATATTTAGTAGGCAGAGTAAGCATAACCAGGGAGAAACCGGAAAATAAGAAGACAATAAGTGCTGTTGCAGAGGTCAAGTGCATCATTTCAAGGAAAGGAGATAGCTTATCACACAAAAGAAACAGTCAAGTTGTTGAGGTATAAGATCTTCTAGTGACAAAGTGCAAGATAATGCACAGAGAGATATAGCAACCAAATATTTATCTACAGAATAAAGTGCCATGAGCTATTAATGGTTAAGGGTAAGGGCTCTGATTCAGAGGAAATTAGGCTGCAATCCTAGCTCTGCAATTTGGGCGAATTAAACTTCCTAAGCTTCAGTTCTCAACCTATAATATATATTATAGTAAGCATATTCCTCATAGGATTGTGGTAAGCAATAGATGAGATAATGTAAAGTACTTAGAATAGTGCCTGGAACATAGGAAGTAATTGAATGTTGGCAATTATTATTAAAACAATTTTCACTGAGAAAGGAAAGTCATATCATTGTAAACTATTGCCTGAAAGCAATTTTGCTGCTGTAGCCAAAAAGGTCAACGAATGTTAAATATCTCAAAGGACACAAAACACCTTTATACAAAATACCTTTATCTAAAAATTATAGTGCATCTTAACTGGAATCTACTGTGTGGAATTATACAGTAATATAAAAATGAGAATTAAAATACAACACAACAAAACTTAATTGTCTGAGAAACAAAAAATTAAGAAAAGTACAAAACACTTGCCCAGAGAAACAGGAGAACTGACCAGCAGATGGAGCCCTGTAGAATGTATTGGCAGGAAAACTCAATAGTGAAGAAGTATGGCTCATTAGGATACCCAAATTTTATTTTACTTTATTAGTAGTAAGGTTTCCAACATACTCAACACTGATATCGATATTTTGAATGGTCAGACATCCCAGAATATAAAATACCAGAATTCTTCAGTATTTCATAAATTTAAAAAATGGTAATTCTGGTTTTGAGATTGAATAGTATAAAGTGAGTGATCTGATTCTGAGATACCCTGGGGAAATCAGCAAGTTAAGAAGCCAGGCCTCAGATCATAAAGCAAGCACTCCTGTGAAGTCCAGCTGAAATGGGGCTTAAAAAGCCTAGAATGCCCTCTTCCTCTAACTGTGGTTACTAAAGTGATACATAAGACCAAATCAAGTTTTTGTGATTGCTACTAAACTTTTTCGCCCTTAGAAGAATTACTAGTCAACTATCCAGATCTGTACTTGAAATCAAAACTCACGGGTGATGAAAAAAAAAAAACTAAAATAACAGGCAAAGTTTAACCGTACTATGTAAATAACAACTATATCCATCTGTCTCTACATGCTTACTGGAAGTTGCTAAAACAATATTAATATTAATGTTAAACAACAAGTTAATCAGAAGATTCAAATACAAGAACAGTTAAGAGCTATATTTATGGATCAAAAATAGCAGGATCAATATCATGATTACATGGTTTTAGACAAGTGTCCACAAGCCACAGACTCTCAGTGCCTCAAGAAGACTTGATCAAGGAGTTTTGTTACCAGAGAGTATACGCCAACCACAGGTTGAGTATCTCTAACCTGAAAATCCAAAATTCAGAACTTTCTGAGTGCCAACATGATGCTCAGAGGAAATGCTGACTGGAGAATTTCAGACCATCAGATACTGAATTGGTATATAATGCAAATATTCCAGTATCTGAAACCCAAAACACTTTTGGTCCCAAGCACTTCAGATAAGAGGTGTTCAACCTGTTTTATGTTTTGTTGTTGTTGTTGTTATTTGTTTTTTTTTTTTGAGTTGGAGTCTCACTGTCGCCCAGATTGGAGTGCAGTGGCCGCTTCCGGCCACCGCAGCCTCGACCTGCTGGGCTCCGGCGATTCTTCCGCCTCAGCCTTCCGAGTAGCTAGAACTACAGGCGCGCGCTACCACGCCCAGCTAATTTTTTGATTTAGTGTAGAGATGAGGTCTCGCCTGCCCAGGCGGGTCTCGAACCCGCGGGCTCAGGCAATCCACTACCTCAGCCTCCCAAAGGCACGGGATTACAGGCTGAGCCACCGAGCCCGGTTTGTTTTATGTTTTTATGTTATATCTACGCACAGTTAAAATGGTGATTCATTGATTTCCTCCTGCCATCCCCTATGCTGCCAAACTCATGTGCTCAGGGAGTAGAATCTACAATTGTTATGCTATACTCTAAGGAAAATATAATTAGTTTGTAAAAATTGCATTAAAAAAATCCCACAGACACCACATAATAGTCCAAAGTAAAATACAAAGTTTTTTGCTTACCCATTAATGTAAGAGCCCGCTTTTTTTTTTTTTGAGTTAGAATTTCACTTTATAACACAACTATAAGTAATCATATAGCCAAGGATTGTGTGGCATCTAGTTCTTAGGCAAGCCTATTTAAGCAGCTTGATCATATGGTTGTATTAGAAGTATATAAATTAGATGATTCTGACAGACAAGTTTAAAACAGCTGTCAGGTCCCCCTGAACAGTAAGAGCTCATAAATCAGGGAAATCAAAATATCAAATGAGGCACAAAATTTGCAAATCCTTACTCTTCCATTCTAGAGATATTTAGTGTAAAACTTTAGCTATTTTTTTTTTATCAGAGCTGTGACACAATGGCTGTTGAAGGAATGAGAGAATCATTATATTTTATAAGATCTCCATTACCAAAAGATTCAAATTACAGATCATTTTTGGCTTCAATTTGTTTATGGAAACACCCTATTACCTAATAATGTTGGTTACATGGGACAGATCATGAAAACTTAGCAATCTGTTTTAAATAGTGTAAAATATAGTCTTTTCCCTTACACGAAATGGCTTGGTACAGATTTTCAATTCTAGGTTTGAATTCCTGGGAGATAGTAACAACAACAAAAACAATCCCAAAAGAAATGTGTTCTAATTTTTTCATTATCTATGAAATTAAAAAACCACAAAGATGGAATTATGAAATTCTATTATAATGTGGATGTTGTGGATAGAAAAACTTAAGCATGCTCCAGTTTTACTCCAGAAGTTCAGAACAACAGCGATTTACCTAATGTTATAGAACGTGTGGGTAGTAAGCGGAACATGACATTCTTCTCGAAATTTCAAAAAATCAACACGAAAAAACTACATATTAATTGCCCCTCTTGTTATCAGCAACAAGAATCGGAATGTCCACCGGAAACTCAGCAATTCGGCAAATCTTGGTATCTATCAAAGAGTGCATCTGTGCCTGGAACCTTACTTTGCTTCAGCATCCTAATGACTTTTACTTAAAATCCATAAGAGGCATCAACTTTGGAGCCAGATCCTCACCAGTTCTGTCGGGGCTAAGGAGAGGATCAAATATAGAGATGTAGATAGAGAGGAGACACAATGCCTGATGAAGGAATGAGAGAATCACATTACGTTTTCTAAGATCTCCGTGACCAAAAGATTCAAATTATAGTTCATTTGGCTTCCATGTGTTTATGGAAACACCTTATTACCCAATAACGGTGGTTATACGGGAGCAGCTCAACGCAGGGTGTGTCCCGTGGCTGCGGAGCCTGTCCTACTGCCCAAGAGCGCGAGGGTGCCCCGTGCTTCCTCGAGATGATGTCTCCCGGGACTCCACCCCCGCGTGACAGGTCGCCCGGCGGGAGTCTTGCTGGGGGCGGTAGGAGCCACGCCCCGCCCCTCCTCTACCTCTTTCCGGAGAAGGCCTTGAGGCAGGCCGGCCCCCAGACCGGGGCCTGCACGACGACCACCCGCTAGGTGTCTGTGAAGCCGTGGGTGTCGGGCTCTGGGCCTCCAACTCCAGCCGTCGCGGGATAGGGAAAGGGATTCCCCGCTGGGGAACGAATAGGAGGAGCCACGGGGGGCCGGGCCCCTCCCCCGCAGGCTTACCCTCCGCCGCCTCCTACACGCGGCAGCCGCCCCGCTTCCTTGCGGAGCAGCCCGAAGCACTGCGTCCAGCAGCAGTTCCCCATCGCATGCCGCCCAGGCGCCGCCGCTCCTTCTCCTCCTCCCGCTCAAAGCCCAGACCCAGGCCCGGCAGCCGCATCCGCGCGGCACGAGCCGAAGTGGGGTTCGCGGACCGAGGGCGGGCCGACTGGAGCGCGGCGGCGTGAGGGGCCGGGACCACGACAGGGATCAGGCGCTCGGAACAAAGGCAGCGATTACTCCAGCGGCCGCCGAGCCACCGCCGCGCGAGGGAGGATCGCCGGGATGGAGGCTCCGTACTGCCTCGCCGTACGCATGGGCCCTTTTGCCTCAGCCCCTAGCCCGGCACCAGTGACCGCCTCCAGCTGCTGGAGGAGGCCAGTCCCCGCGAGGCTAGCGCCCTGGCCCCGCCCCTCCCGCGCGCCCAGGCCCGCGCCTCGTCGCCGACGCCGCCACACCCCCGGCCTCTCTCGGGCTCCGATTGGGCGCGTGTCCTCGGAGGCCCGCCTCCTCCGGAGACCGGTCCTTGCGTCACTTCCGCCAGTTCCCGGTTCTGCAACTTCAGCCTCAGCGAAGGCTGGATCCCTGTGTAAATGTCAGTTTGGTTGGACCTTGACCTGAGTAGGAAATTTCCTTCCTTCGTTGCAGATTCAGGCCTCTTGCTTCCGAACGCGCTAGATGTCGCTTGCCAAGGCTCAGCCTTCGAACTTTGTACCAAAGGCTCGTGAACGGCTTACCTAGAGCCCCACGCCAGAAGTCTTGAGGTTGAAGGGACAGTTCTCTGTGCATCGTGTTTTGCGAATATTGCACTTCAAATGGGAAATGGAGTCGATGGAAGTTACTTTGAACGCACCAAGAACTTTTTCCCGTCCGATCTCTGTCTTCCGTCTCAATCTCCCTATTGTCAGTAGGGAAAAGTATTAATGGTGCACCACTGGCTTAATGTTGTTTGTTTAAAATCAGATCTTCATATAATTTGGGTTGGGGTAGTTGGGGTCCAGAGGAATTCGGCCAGAGGGCTGGGGCTTTTCCGGAAGACCAGCCTTGCCAATCGGAGCAGGCTGCCCAGAACTGCTGTAGATGGGAAGAGGAAAGCTAATCTGGCGCATCCTGGTCTGTGGTTTCTTCAAGTGCTACTTTAAAAATCGGGTTTTGTCAGTAGTTGACCTTAAAATTGAATATAAGGCGTGGCTTAGTAGACGCCTAGTCTGGTGGATAGGAGACTGCTCTTATGGACTAATAGACTCGCTAATTTTTAGCCTGTTTTTAATTAAATCTAGCGACAGTATTATATTTAAATAAATTATTAATGATAAAATGTTCTTTGAACTACTCATTTTCTTGCTTCTTGAAATCCAGACCTACTTGAGTTTCAGTCTTAGAACTGCTCCTTAACTAAGTTTTGATTTTGTTTGTGTCTCAGTTGTTTTTGTAATCAAGGACGTAGAATATTTGGCCTAGGATTCTATTCTCAGTGAATGTTGGTGGAATGACTAAGTGACTTCCTAAATATTGATTGAATTTTCTTTCCCCCTTACAACTCCTTAAGCTAGGCAAATATGTTAATAAAATAGTCTTTAAAATTGGGCCAGTGAGGTGGCTTCCAGCACGTTGGGAGGCCAAGCCATGAGCATCTTTTGGGGCTAGGAGTTTGTTACCAGCCTGGGCAATTTAGGGAGACCCCGTCCCTACAAACACACATGCACACACAAATTAGCCAGATGGTGGCCCAGCCCTATAGTCCTAGCTACTCGGGAGACTGAGGCAGGAGGATCCCTTGAACCAGGAGTTGGAAACTCAGTAAACTATGATCATGTTACCGCGTTTCAGCCTGAGGAACAGAGCAAAACCCTGTCTCAAAAAAACAAAACAAAAAACTATAAATATTTAAGGAAACTCATATATTCATCCTATGAATGATGGAATGCTATTCAGAAACACACACAGACACACACTTTTGATAAACACACCTTGACTGAATCTGTAGGAAATTATGCTGAATGAAAAAGCCAATCTCAAAGACTTATGCATTGTATAATTCTACTTATGTTATATTCTAGAAATGACAAAATTATAGAAATGAACAACAGAATAAGTGATTTTCATGAGTTGGAGACTAGAGAGTGCATCTTTGTGGCAACGTAAATGCTGTTTCTTGGCTATATTAATGCAAATATCCCAGTTGTGATATTGCACTATAGTTTTCAAGATTTAAGGATACATGTGGTGATCTCTGTGTTTCTTAAAACTGCATGTGACACCACAATTATCTCAAAATACTTGATGCAAAAATATGCCTGTGGACTTCTTCCTATAGGTATTCTTAAAAACCTTTTTTAAAAGTAAATGTCAGCCAGACACAGTGGTTCATGCCTGTAATCCTAGCACTTTGGGAGGCTGAGGTGGAGAATCGCTTGAGGCCTGGAGTTGGAGACCAGCCTGGGCAACATAGTGAGATCTCGTCTCTACAAAAAATGAAAAAATTAGCTGGGTGTGGTGGCGTGTGCCTGTAGTCCCACATGCTCTGGAGATTAAGGCAGGCAAATGGCCTGAGCCCAGGAGATCGAGGCTGCAGGGAGTTGTGATGATGCCACTATACTTCAGCCTGGGCAACAGAGTGACATTTACACTAAAAAAAAAGTTAACCTTATTTAAAATATATATATATATATCAGGATAGAAAATTTTACATATGTTGTAACTCACATTTAAAACAAAGCATATACACTTTTTTTTGTTTGTTTTTTTGAGTTGGAGTCTCACTCAGACACCCAGACTGGAGTGCAGTGGCTGCTCCCAGCCACCTCAGCCTCGACCTGCTGGGCTGCAGCGATCCTTCCGCCTCAGCCTTCCAAGTAGCCAGAATTACAGGCATGAGCTACCACGCCTGGCTGATTTTTTGATTTATTGTAGAGATGAGGTCTTGCTGCCCAGGCGGGTCTCGAACCCACGGGCTCAGGCAATCCACTCACCTCAGCCCCCAAAGGCGCGGGATTACAAGCTGAGCCACTGAGCCCGGCTAGCATATACACTTTTACACACATTCTTACATATATTCTTAGGGTGGATAGACAAATATTAAAAATACTATTTCAATATTGTGAATTTTGGGAGTTTTTTTCTTATAGTTCTCTGTATTTTCTCAGTTTTCTACAATTACTATTTAATACTTCTATAATCAAAAAAGGTTTTAATCTGGTCTATCAGCAGAAAAGATTGATAATCAGTTCAATTAAAGATTGATAACAAATGCAGATATTTAGAAAATGAGAACTAGAATGTGAGTAGATTATAATAAATTGAGGAGAGCCACTTAATTTTTTTAGAAATGTATTAGATAAATTACCAAGAAACTAAGAGATTATTGGAGTTTATCCTGTACCTTTTTCACCAAATTTGACATAAGAAAATCTTCATTGTAATGTAGCTTTAAAATTTTTTAACAATTCAGCAAAGTGGTAATCTGCTATTCGTTAAGTGGAATTATCAAGAAGTAACCTCATTACTGAAAGAAATGTTTGTGAGGCAGATGAACTGAATGCCTTTGTTTGGCAGATAAGAAGGCGTACTCTTAGAGGAATTTTGTCCAAGGTTATACAATGAATTAAAGTATAACATAAAGAAAAACTCAGACCTCCTGACAGTGAAGCTTGTGCTCTTGCTGTGGTACAGTAACACTGCTTCCCCAACCCTTACATTTGGGCACAGGTATAAAGTCAGTAAAGGCCATAGTCAAGTGGTAAGATTTATTCTGGTAAAATTTATGTATATATACCACATTCTTATTATCCATCGATCAGCTGATGAGCATTTAGGTTGATTCCACATCTTTGCAACTGAATTGTGCTTTGATGCATATGCGAGTGCAGGTATCTTTTTTGCATAACGACCTCTATTATTCTGGGTAGATACCTAGTAGTAGGATTGTTAGATCAAATGGTAGATCTACTTGTAGTTCTTTGAGAAATTTCCTTATCGACTTCCATAGAGGGTGCATTACTTTATACTCCTATTAACAGTATATAAGCACTTCCTTTTCTCTGCATCCATGCCAGAATCTACTGTTTTTGGATATTTTAATAATGGCCTTTTTAAGTGGTGCAAGGTGGTATCTCATTGTAGTTTTAATTTGCATATCCTGGTGATTAGTGATGTTGAGCATTTTTTCATGGGTTTGTTGTCCATTTATATATCTTCTTTTGAGAGTTGTGTATTCATGTCATTTACCCACTTTTTAGTGGGGCCACTTGCTTTTTTCTTGCTCATTTGTTTAAATTCTTTGTAGATTCTGGATATTTGTTTTTGTCAGGTGTGTAGTTGGTGAATATCTACTCCCATTTTGTAGGTTGTCTATTTGCTCTGCTAATTATTTTTCCCCCGCTATGCTGAAGCTTTTTAATTTAATTAAGTACCACTTATTTTTTGTTTTTGTTGCATTTGCTTTTGGGGTCTTAGCCATAAATTGTTTGCCCAGGCCAATCTCCAGAAGAGTTTTTCCTAGGTTCTATTCTAGGATGTTTATGGTTTCAGATCTGGCATTTAAGTCTTTAATTCATCTTGAATTAATTTTTGTATATGGTGAGAGATAGGAATCAAGTTTTATTTTTCTGCATGTAGCTATTCAATTTTTCCAGCACCATTTGTTGTATAGGGTATCCTTCCTCCAGAATATGTTTTTGTCTTTGTTGAAGATCAATTGATTAATAATAATTGGGTTTATTTCTGGATACTCTAGTTTGTTCCATTGGTCCATGTTTCTGCTCTTGTACCAGTACCATGATGTTTTGGTTACAAATTATAGCCTTGTAGTATAATTTGAAGTCAGGTAATGTGATGCCTCCAACTTTGTTCTTTTTGGTTAGGATTGCTTTGGCTGTTCTGGCTCTTTTTGGTTCCATATAAATTTGTGAATTGTTTTTTCTAATTCTATGAAAAATGACATTGGTAGTTTGATAAGTATTGCATAAAACTATAGATTACTTTGGATAATATAGTCATGTTAACAATGTTGATTCTTCCAATCCATGAGTATGAGATGCTTTTCATTTATGTCCTCTACAATTTCCATCATCAGTGTTTTGTAGTTCACCTTGTAGAGATTTGTCACCTCCTTGGTTAAGTGTATTCCTAAATATTTTAGCTTTTTTGACTGCTAGTGTAAAAGGAATTGAATTCTTGATTTGATTCTCAGGTTGATTGCTGTTAGCACGTAGCAGTACTACTGACTTGTGTATGTTGATTTTGTATCCTGAAAATTTACTTAATTCATTTATCAAATCCAGGAGTCTTTTGGAGGAGTCTTTGGGATACTCTAGGTATAAGGTCATATCATCACTATACTGAAATAGTTTGATATCTTCTTTTCCAATTTGGATATGCTTTATTTATTTTTCTTGCCTGATT